ATTCTCCAGTCCCCTCCCCAAGTCTTCTGAATCTGAGACTGATGCTGGGGCTCAGTAGTCTGTGTTAGAAGTTAGAACACGTCTTCCAGGTGATTCTTACATTAGGTAATCAGGTACTCGATAATACATTTGAGTGAATTGTGATTACCATGGCATCTGTGTGGTGCTAAGCATTGATAGTGCTCACCAAATACTTTGGCCCTCTGCTTTCAATACTTCAAGCCCTCTTTTCTCTGCTACAGCAACCAGCAACATTGCAGACGCCCTGCTCCAACAGCCTGGGTCCTGGCAGAGGACGGACATGTCAAATAAATAAGGACCAAAATTCTATTGGTTTAAGCCACCGGGATTTGGGCGTTGTTTGTTACAGCATCATAACCAAACCCATCCAGTCCAATAGCGCCTAATATTTTCAAAGAGCAGTTTGCTGAAATATCTCAAACCCCATTTTGTAAGTGACAAAATCAGCTCCACCTGTGAAGCAAAGATGCTCACTGCCCTATCTCCCAAGAAAGGAGAAAGAAAGAGAACTGTGTTTGTGCCCGGTGATCCTCAGGAAATATTTGATGCCTGGGTGACCAAGAGGAGCTAGGACTCAGCTGTATCGGCAGCTAACGGAGGGGGTGGGCAGTTCTGGTGTAGAAGGTTCTAGAAGGGCTGCCAAGGGCTCTGGGATAAGGACAGCAGTTCTGGGGCAGGGGAAATGGCACAAAGAGGAGTTTGCATCTGTATCAAGCTCTATGCATTCCAGGACATGCTCACTCATTGTTTTATCTTACTCCTTCCATGCACGAGGATGATCCATCCAATGCCACAGTGGGTCCAGAGAGGCAAAGGGACTTGCCCAAGATTGCACAGCAAGTTGATAGCAGAGTCAGCCAAGGCTTTTACTCCAGGCCAGTGTCCTTCTAGTATCTGCTAAGAAATGGGCTCCAGGAAGGTGGTTCTGGAGGGAGGATGATGTCCCCCCGCCCCAGAGCACAGATGTTCCTGTGCACGGTCCTGAGGACTCTTGGCATCAGATGGGTTCTTACCAGGTTCTGGTGAACCTCACGGTTCTCTGGCTCCCAAGGGGTGGAGAAGAAGTGGAGGGGGAGGGGCCACAGGGCATCGATTCCTGAAAGCCTCCGGTTTTGCAAGCTCTCATCTGGCACCCAGAACCCTGGGCACCATCCCTCACGCAAGTTCCCTGACTCTGGGGTCTCCACTCGCTCCTGGACAGCTGACAAAGCCTGGCCGGTCCCCTTCCTTTCTTCCCATTACAATAAGCAGGAACAAGAGAACATAGCAATGGCCGACACTTACCTGTTCATGGGCTCCATTGTGTCCCCCTAAAATTCATATGTTCAAGTCCTAATCCCCAATTCTCCAGAATCTGACCTTATTTGGAGATAGGGTCTTATTAGAGGTAATCGAGTTCAAACGAGGTCATTAGGGTGGGCTCTAATCCAGTCTGACCGGTGTCCCTATACAAAGGGGAAACCTGGAGACAGACACACATATCAGGAGAAGGCCGTGTGAAGAATGGAGTTCCAGCGCCTCGAGCCTCGGAGCTACCAGAAGCAAGGGCAGAGGCCTAGAGCAGAAGAAACCAACCCTGCTGACACCCTGATTTGGACTTCGAGCCTCCAGTGGGGTGAGACAGTACACTCCTGTGGATTAAGCCAGCCAGGCTGTGTGGCTTGAAACGGCAGCCCCAGGGAAATGAGTAACTGCCTCAGCCAGCCAGCCTCCCAGCCCAGATCTGCCCCCCGCGGTAAGGCCAGCTGTCTCCCCGTCTTTGCTGATGGGGTTCCCTGTCCCATCCATGCCCAAAGACACCATTCCATCCAGCCCAAAGCCCCACGAAGCCCCCTGAGGGAGAGCAGGTCACAGCGCTGTCTCCAGCCTGGCGTGTCCCATCTGTGTTCTTTCACACACTCGCCTCTGGCTGTTATCCACGGGTTTTTCTGCATGTGGCCTGTCCTTCCCAACAAGACCATGAGTTCCATGAGGGCAGGAGCTATTCCTAACACCTCTCCTATATCCCAAGGCATAGCACTGCGGGCACGCCACAGTGGGCATCTAATAAATACTGGGTTGAACACCCTTCGAGGGTTTCCCCCTTCAGTCTTCTGTCTAGAGCTGATTCCTCCTTTTTTTTTTAAGATTTTGTTTATTTATTTATTTGAGAGAGAGAGAGCACAAGCAGGGGTAGCGGCAGAGGGAGAGGGAAAGCAGGCTTCCTGTTAAGCCCAGAGCTCGATGTGGGGCTCGATCCCAGGACCCCGGGATCCTGACCTGAGCTGAAGGGAGACGCTTAACCGACTGAGCCACCCAGGCGCCCCTAGAGCTGATTCCTCATTAATACTCGATAAGTGGGCATGGCTGAAGAAGACATCTCTCCATTCTACTCTGCCCTACTTTATGAAGATGCTCATCGAAGCATCTGTAACTCTGGGGGCAGGTATCCGTGTACCAGACCATCTCTTTCCACTAGGCTGCCAGCTCCTTGAGGTAGCAACTGTCCCTCGTGTGTGTCTATGTCCCCAGCACTCGAGTAGGAAACAAGTCGACAAGGAACAGTGTAAATCGAACGGATAAACATGAACATATGGCAGAAATGATTTACCGTGGGTCCAAAGACTCTGTAAGGGATTTGAGGGCTCCATGGACCCACTGAAACTGTGTGCAAAGGGCTGTGTGTGTGTGTGGGGGGGGGTTATATATGTCATGTGCATTTTCCCAGGGACAGGGTCCATGGAGGTGCGAAAAATTAAAACAAAAGCCAAGAGTGAAAAAATGGTAAGACCCAAAGTCATGGAGTGGGGAGCTGGCATTTATTAAGCCCCTATGCTGTGTCTGGTGATATCTATTACTATCCCCATTTTACATGAATGGAAACTGAGGTACCAAGAGGTGGCATCTTGCCTAGGCTCACGGAGAGAGAAGCAGCCCATCCAAGCGGGTCAGAGCAGACTCTAGAGCCAGACATCCTAGGTTCAAATCCCAGTTCTACCACTTTCTAGCTGTATGATCCTGGTCAAGTCACTTAATCACTCTGTGACTCAGTTTCTCCATCTATAAAATGGGAGGGATCAGGGAACCCACTTCAGAGAGCTGTTGTGAGGAGCTGATGCATTCATGTATATAAAGTGATTGGAACAGTGCCTCGTGAGGGGGGTTGTCCTGTGAAGACTATGCGGATGAGCATAAAGAGGAAGAAGTTGGGGGTGGACAGAACTGAGACTCAAACCTAGACCTATGGGACTCTTGCCACCCTGGGTCATCACTACCAGCACCCCGCATGCCACAGTGACCCATCTCACTGCTGAAACTCCTGTCCCCCTTTGGGAGGAGCCCTCAGTCCTAAAATTGGCTTTTCCGGCTGGCTTCCCGGAGGTGGGCTGGCCCATGGCCGTGACATAAGGAGTAGGTGGGAGATTGTAAGACTGGGTCTGTGCAATCGGGACACTTAGTGCTTCTGCCCTGCTCTTCATTTTCCAAGACCTCTACCAACAATTGCTGATGGAAATTAGAAAAAGAATGTGCTCCTCTGTTCCTGGAGCCCCGTGCTGACAGCTGAATTCCCTTTATCATTTCCCCGAGTCCATCCTTGCGCCCTGAGCCCTGAAGGGCCGCTCACATCCATTCTGCTCAGGCTTTGTGAGTCCTGGGTCACAGCCCATGCCTGGCTCTCACTTTCCTCTGGGCAGACAACAGCAGTAAAACCTTGGTCTTGATCTCACTTCTACACCCAGGTCCCCGTAGGAGCTCCATCCCAGGTGAGGCGTTGGCCAATGCCTTGTCCCAGTCCAGTCCTCTGCCCCGCTCCTGAGACACAGCCTTTTGGGGATGGCTTTGCGTGAGTATCTTTGTATGTTTCCCGCAAAACTATCACTACGGAACCTATTTGTGGGAGCATTTTTCATTCACTCCTGTAATGCAATTAGGATCGAGCTTCTCCAGCAAGAGGGGATATGTAACATCAGGAGGGGAAAATTGTCATTTCATTCCTAACACTAACACGCCCACCCTGCCCAAATTGGCTCTCTGGTGCCGGCTCACTCTACTCACCCAAAGGGCAAGGAGAATGCTAACAAGGAAAATCACTCTCCAAATCTGCCTCCGAATGAAGAAGCAGAAGCTATGGGGGTGGATTCCCCTCTGTCATTAATGGGGGGGCTCCCAGTTTCTCTGACACTCTCCACAGTTGGGGCAAAACTCTACTGCCCACTGGAGTGCCCCATACTGGCCCCATTGCACCTGTCAGAGGTGGTGGGAAAGAGTCCATTGGACTCGAACAGACTCTAACCCTACAGTCATTCTCGCTGAGAGGTTAAGTGACTTACCCAAAGCTACATCTCTGGGAAGCTGGGACCGGAACCCAGATCTGCAGACTCCTGGGTATCTCCCACTGCAAAGCACTGCCCTCCCACCCAGAGGGCCTGCGGCTGCCAGAAACTAAGCCCTCGCGCCCACCTTGTCCTCAGGTCTCCTGATCCTTTTTGGAAATGTTCCCACTTCCTAGAACCGGCCCCTTGTGATCTACCTTATTCTTACTACCCTCCTTCTCGGTACTACGGTCTTGCTCTCCAATGATCCAGCCTGCCTTCCTTCCTCCCTTCCACCCTCTCTCCATCCCTCCACCCTCTATCCATCCATGTCTCCTTCCATCCAGCAAAGCCTTCTGGAGCCCTTCCGATCTGTGCCAGGCACTCAGCCCTTCCTCCCCGCGGCTCCTCAGAGCACGCTCCAAAAGTGTGCACTTCTCTCCTGACCCCATCAAAGCCTAGAACCGAACGGCGTCGATCCAACCCGCTTAGGAGATCGACCTGTTGGACAAATTTGTGCGAACGTGCTTGTAGCAGACCCAGTGATCCCTGCAGAGCTGCCGGCAGGCAGGAATTTCTGGAGCCCTCAGCTCAGCCAAGGCCTGCTGCCCAGGGCCTGGCTGACAGCCCCCTACCTCCCTTCCCCTTGGTTCCCTCCCCTGCCCCAGGGAGGCGGCCCCTACGTACGTATGCAGAAGTCCCCATTCTCGTAGTAGCCAGGGCAGCACTGGGACCTGCGACGATACATGGTCCGGAGGCCACGCCGATACGCCGTCTTATAGCTGATCCTGAGGCACAAGGGAGAAAGCCACTTGAAAGTATTGAAAATCAATCACTCGCGTTAGAGTGATATTTGTGTTAAGCTATATTGAGGATGCCATTCAATAATTACTTTAAAATGCATGGTGGCTGCGAATATGAAGGAACACAATAAAGAAAAATCGATGGCTGCATCTGGGCCACTGTGATGCAGAAAATATTACTGACACAGCGTCTGCCACACCTACTTTCCCCAGTCTCGTCGGCGTGATGCCGAGAAGGGTTTCGGAAGGTCCTTTCTGGGGTGACGGTGGGAGGTAACTAGGCGCTTCTCCTGGAAGCCTCCAGACCCTGGGGAGCTCCTGGGGGGACCCAAACTGGACTTGGGCCCTGAGAGTGGCCAGGGCCACTGCCCAAATGAGCAGGCTGCTCGCGGCCTCCAGGGACTCGGTCCACCCGTCTGGAGAACTGAAACAGGATCAGCAAAGGGCCCTCTGAGTCTGACCCAGTCCCAGGGAGTGGATTAACCTCCCTCATGCTAAAAATAACATGTCCTGGGCAAGAGCTTCGCATGCCATCCCTGGGAAGGCTCAGAACCAGGCCCTGGCTCTGCAGCAGGAAGAAGTTATAAGGCCCAGGGAGCAGAGGCAGCTCTGACCTGGGAATCGGAGACCTGGAGTGTACCTCTTCTGCTGGGACAGGCATGGACACTTCATCCTGTGCCAGAGAGATTTCTAGGCGCAACGTCACTCCATTGTCTATCTGAGGCAGGTAACAGGACTATGTCACCTTTGTTTTATTTCCTTTTTACCGTTTTTATTCTTATTTTATGAACCCCCCTTCTGTTTCATGGATGAGAAAACTGATATTCAGAGAAGTTAATGACTCGCTCAAGGTCACACAATGAATCAGCTTCAGAATCAAGATGTGAACCCAAGTCACTCTAATTTCAAAGCCACCAGGCTTAATTAACCTACTGCCCAGTGCCAGTCCCCACAGGGTGGCTGGCCAGCCATATGGGATGGCCATAGTGAATGAGAAAGACCAGGTAAATGGCTGGTGGGAAGACAGAGTCCTTAGGAGGAAATCAAGATGGGGTATTGGTATGCAAAACCCCTTCCTCACACCTAAAGTCAAAATGGAAGAATTTGAAGTGGCCATTAAGGGACAGAGAGAGGAACTAACTTCCCAAGGTCGTGATGTATGACTAGGACTCAACCCCAAGTCTTCGGGCCTTGAAGCCAGAGCTCCTTCACATCCCCACCCACACCCCAGGGGAGCCTGCCCTGAGGACCCCTCCTCAGGGGGCAGAGCAGCGGGGACCAGACATGGGAGATGCCTACAGCCTGCTTCCCATGGATGGTCAGGCCAACTTGGGAAGGGAGTCCCACAGCCCTCCCAGTCTTTAAAGCCCTCGCTTTATGACAAATGACAGTGCAGGGCCCCGGGGAAATCCGTGATATTTGGGAGTGTCGTAAACTAAGGTCATTCTACTTTGTCAAAAGCCCATAATGAAAAGTAAGCCAGCCTCCAAGTGAAGCTCCTTCCCCGGTACAGGAAAGCAGCTCCCGGCAATTTTGGGGGTGGCGTGGACCTCTCAGATAAAGGAAGAGTCAGGGTTGGCTCAGAGTTCATCCAACCCAGTCGTCCCACCACACAGGGGTATCCCCCAGTCCGTCCAGTGGAGAGGTGGTCTTGGCACCATGGCAACCTCCCAGGAGAGAGATGTCTCCCGCTGCTTCTGGCTCTCCCACCCTTGCTTGCTCCCAGCGCTGGGGTGGGGAGCAGCAGAGGGAAGGGGCCAGGGACCAGGCTGTCAGGAAAAGGGTGCTGCATTTAAACAAACCATTCCACACTGAAGCAGACTGATAGTGTGGCTGTCAGCATGCACACCCCAGGTCAGCAGGAAAGCTGCGAGGCAACTCAGTAATTTAGCAAAATAATTCATGTTCCAGGAATGCAGCCTATTTTAATAAGCAGCCACTCACTCACCTTCCCCCCAGCGCTGATGGATGGCAGCCCGGGCCTCCGAGTACCTAACAAAGCCACACCTCAGAGCAAACTTGGCTCTGGCACAGGGCCTGACAGGGCTCATGGAGGGAGCAGGACCTCTATTTCTGCCTCCACCTTTGACCGGGGCCACAGGCAGCCAACTTGGCACAGCTAAGGAAGCTGGAAGGGGATATTTGGTCCCACCTCCTCATTTCACAATCAAGGGCTAGGGGAAGGGGATGCGGTCATGGCCGAGTAGCTCCTATGGGAGCAAAGTTCCTACCAACAACTATACAATCTGGGAGAAATAAAAAAAAAAAAAAAAAAAAAAACAACCACAACTACCAGAAGGCACCAGAGAGGGAACAAAGGTGGATACTGGAGGGAAAGAGAAATTCGGAAGAAGGAAATGACACTGGGCAAGGTTAGCCCAAGGGCAGACCCCAATCAACCATATTCCAGGTGGCTACAATTCAGGTAGAAAACACACAGCCTTCCTGGCTTAAAGCACTACAAGACAAGTCCAGGGTGGATCCAGCAATTTGAGAGTGAAAAGTGAAACCCCAGAAAAGAGAGAGCCACAAAGAGGAAGCCCCATATTCTTTGTAAAATCTCTGCCCAAACTCCTGGCCCCTGAATGGCATGTGTAGGGGGCAGGTCCCACACAGTCCCGCTAAGGCTAAAAATATGGAACTTTCGGAGTCTGGAAATCGAATGCAGCCAGATTAACTGATTGCCGAAACAAACAACAACAACAAATCAATCCTCTCGGGAGGAACGTAACAGATTTCATTCTCTACAATCTCTGCTGTTCACAGTGCCCAGAATATAATTCAAAATTACTAGATGCAAGGAGCAACTGGAAAATACTGCCTACATAAAGGAAAAGACAATGAATGAAGACCACCGTGAAGTGGCCCAGATGTTGGGATTAGCAAATAAGGATGTCAAAGCAGCTATCATGTCTATGCTCACAGCAACTTACGAACAAAACCCCAAAGAAAACCAGGACTTTGGCACTTCAGCATAGAGCAAGTTTCCCCATCCACCTTGCTACCACCGTGATTCAGGCATAAACCACAAAGAGGGACAAGGCCCCCACGGAGGAAGCCAAAGAAATCTGGAACCAACATGGATGCTCGGCAACTAGGGAAGAGGCCTAATAGGTGGCTTTCCCCTCATGCGCTCACCCACCCTTCATCTGCTGGTTTCCATCCCTCAAATAATAGTGCCACCTTGCCCAGATCTAATAGCTCGCTTCTCCCCGTCTTTCCCTGCACTTTCCAAAGCATTTTCTCATCCCTGACCTCAATGGACCCTGTGAGTAGGTAGGGCAGAGATCATCGTATGTTTGATGAGCACACTGGGAATTCCCAAATAAAGCAACTTGCCCAGGGTCATCCAATAAAACGTGTTCTCTCTTCCTTCCTCTCCTCTTTCCCCCAGCAACATGAGAGAATGGCATGATCTGCAGGAGGGCTGCAGACAAGGGAGCAGGGGACCCCCACACAGTCATTTAGATTGAGCTCTTCCCATGGGCAGCCCGGCCAAGGTGACAAGAAGGTGCCCAGTTCTCTCCTGTGCTCAGTTCTCCAAGCCAGATGCCCTGCCATGGGGCTACATCTGCTCTGAGGGATCTGCCTGAGGTTGGAGGTCCCCCCGCTGACCCTGAGGCAAAGATTCAAGGACAAGCATTTTATTGGAGAGGCAATCTAAGGAAGCACTGGGAGGGGAGGGGGGAAAAGAGACAGGGAAGAAAAGGCAGCCAATTCATGGTGCACTGGGATATGTGTAGAATGTTCCTTTACCCTCAGGGAGAGGGAGCTGGGGGGGGGGTTTACCCAGCAACTCCCCATTTCTCATTGGGTGAGGGATGCCCCCAAGGGCAGTAATTCTCCAGCACTTCTGGCCCGCCCTGCCCATAAGCTTCTCCGGCCAGAAGGAAGCCCTCAGCAGAGCATCTCAGTTGTTCAGGGTAAAGACTGAGCACCAAGGGGATACACGCAGTGCACTGCCTACAGCTACTCCAGGGGCCTTTTACTAACCGGCACGTAGGAGAGCCCTGAGGGCCCAGTACATTCTCCCTGCCCCATCACCCGAGACAGGTACTCACCGGTGTCGGGTGCACTTGAACCAGTTGAGGATGTCCGTGCATCGCGTGTAGTAGATCTGGTCGAAGGGGTGTGCGTATGATTCCTGGACGGTCACGGCGTAGCTGAGAACCAGACAGGAGGTGGAAGCTATGGTCAGCACTCGAGAGGCTGAGCTGATATTCAAGATGGGGGCTCCTGCCCCAGGGGAACCAGGCCCGCAGCCAGGCATTCAGGGGCTCCAACCTCCCCCCCAACCCCACTATCCTCCTCCTGTCCTGGATGCCCTCAGCATTCACACCTCCCTGACCCAGGTTGGATCCAAGACATATCCCTTACTGCCCTTTGGCCCGGCTCATTTTCTGAAATTCTAGATCATTTGTTCGTTTATCAGAGAATGAATAAGGGAGGCTTTAGGTTTATTCTATGTGGCTCTGGAAGGCAGAGCCAACAAGCTTTAAAATACTTTGTTCGGATTTTTATGGGTTTCAAAGCATATATATGGAAGCTGATCCTTGTAGCAATTTTATGAAGTGGTCCCATTTTACAGCTGAAGAAACTAAGGCTCAGAGAGAGGCAGCTTGCCCAGGTCACACAGCCGGTACCAATTAACTGCTAATATTTATTGAGTGCCCTGTGCTAAGTGTTTTAATCCATTTTAGTCCTCACAATCCTATAAGGTTGGTGGATTGCTATCTTCATTTTACAGACAAGGACAATGAAGAAAAGAAAGAGTAAGTGACTTCCCCAAGGTCCCCCAGTTGCCTTCTGCTCTGTCTCCAGTATAGCGGTGGGAGCATCAAGGACATGCCCCAGAACTCCTAATCGAAGCACTATCTTGTTATGCTGCCTGTTAGCTATAAACCTGAACAGTGGGAAGAAGTCTCGGGGAGGAAGATCTCAGCCTTAACCCATAAGCCTTACTACTTGCCCGCCCCCGGCAGGAGGTGTATGAGAAGGCGGTCGAGCCAGGATGCTGAAGAGAAGATTCACACTTGCTGTGCAGGCTGGGAGAGGGCCCCAACTGAGATGTCAGGAATTAATTTTTTTGTAGGTTGGTACTCCTCACTGTTTCCCCCCCGACGGCTCACTGACCTGGGCCAGATGGCCAGATCCAGGCTCTAAAAATCCGTCTGCTTTGCCTGAGGAGACTGTTGGTTTGCTTGCAAGGGGGCTGGGCAGGCCAGCTCCCCGAGTGGGTCCACAGCAGGCTTTAAAGGTCAAAGATCTGGAATCCAGAAAGAGGGCCCCGGAGAAGTCAGCAGGGCACAGGGACTCAGGGCCCTGGAAAATTCTGGTTCTTTGAAGCACTGAGGATGTAAGGAGGGTCCCTGCTGAGCCTCTAACAGCCGGTGCAACGGAGATGTGAGTCACAGGCACACGTCTGTGCAGACATGGGCCAAGCCCGGTTCATCTCCAGGCTTGGGGACACCGAGGCAGCTCAACACCCACCCCTGGCTTCCCAAGGGGCCCCTTCCAACTCTGAGAGTCCACGATCCTATGTTTCCACGCGGCTTCTGAACACCTCACTTAGGGCAGGAGAATGAACGGCTCAGAGTGCATGAGCTCTGGGTCACATTTGAACCCTGTCACCTGTTCGCAGGTGTCCTTAGACGTGTTGCTTAACTCACGGAAGCCTCCTTTTCCTCGCCTGTAAATTCATGACAAAAATTGCCAGGGACTTCACACAGTCATTGCGAGGATTCAGCAAGGCAATAAGAGTGTCCACCTCTCAGGGTGGTGGGAAGATAAAGCAAGAGAAGACATGTAAAGTGCTCAACACAAGAGAATACATGTAAAATTTTTAATGGGTGCCCAGTGTCGAATGGATGTTGGCCACCATTATTATATGACCACAGCAGTTCACCTCCTGCGCTAGGCACTGGGGGACATTTCCTCCCTGACTGTGGTGGGGGGCGGAGGAGCAGGACCCACACACGGAATGGACTCCCTGCCTTTGTTAAGCACTCGGGGGGACTCAGGCACCCCTTCCAGTCCTGACAGAGACAGTGGGTGCTCAGAGAAAAGGCATCAGCCCGACAGAGGGGTGAGGAGAGTGTCATGGGGGACGGTCCCGGCTCTGCAGGGGTGTCGTGGGCTGAGCAAGTCTGGCAATGAGACCTTGAATCAACTCCAAGTCTCTGGGGCGAAGGGTGTGCCCCCGGTTTCATGGCTGGTCGGTTTAACATGCTCACTTGCCAACATGCTAATGAGGGACCAGATTAATCTTGTAGAGCTGGGCTTTATTAGCCAGGGGAGGTCTTTCCACTGGGTTTTATGGTGGAGGGGCATAATTAACAAGGAGCCCGCCAGAAGCACTAATCCAGCTGAGAAATTCTCCCTAAGCGGTCTCTGAGGACCGGAGCGTGTTTCTGGAATGACACAGACTACATCTGTCCATGTGTCATTGGAAGCGGAGCTCAGGTGGGCAAGCCAAGAAGAAGGCACAGGGTGTTATGGGCATTGCCTGCAAGGCCTCCTCCCTAGGGGCTGGAGAAGCCACAGGGGTCCCCCGACTTCACTTTAGTTATAGGGTCAGGCCTTGTCCTCCCATCAAAGGATCACCTCGGCTGACAGCCAGCTCAGTGCAGGCTCCGTTCAGAGTATTTTCATATTCCAAATTGATTGATATCGGGGAGGTCTAGAAAATTAGAGAACTCGGTTTGAGTTTGAACTGATCCACTGTTCAAAGTGATGCAGTCGGGACCCTGAGAAGAGGGACGTGAGGAAGGGCTCTGCCATCAGGGAAGGCTCCTTGGAGGAGAGGGGCCCGGTCAGAGGAGCTGGGGAAGGCAGAGAAAGGCAGACGGGGAGGGGGTATTCTGGAGGTGGGGATATAGCACAGCCAGGGGCAGGAAGCAACTGTGTCTCAGCCAGGACAGGTGGATGGTAGGGGGGCTATTGATGCTGGAGTCTACATACCAGATACTAATAATGTGCAATTTGAGCTGACAGCTTTCTCACCTTCTGGGAAATAAAGGTTTCAATTCGCCAAGACCAGAAGGGGCAAAGGGCCTGAGTAACCTCAGAGTCATGCAGAAAGCTTATGAAAAATGCATATTCCTAGGCTCTACCCTAGACCTCTAGCGTCCGAGTCTCTGGGGCTGGGACCCGGGAGACTGTTTCTCATCCACACCTCCAGTGAGCCTGATGTGCATTAAAGTGTGTGAGAAGCAGTTCCCGCAAAGCCAGAGGTATCAACAAGAAAAGACCATAATTGACCTTTACGGTCCTGAAAGCCCTTTCATGACACTGGCACCCTGATCCTCCTGCGAGCCTGGGAGGCCAGGGCAATTATTCTTCCCCCTCTACAGAGGTGGAAGCAAACTCAAAGCGGTTCAGAGACTTCTCCCAAATCATTACAGCTAGCAGGTGGCGAGATCCAGACTGGAATGAACCAAGGTCTTCTCCTGACAGATCCTGCCTTCTTCCCCCTTCCCCTAAAAGGGGCACGGTACGGCACCACCTTCTGCTCCCGCCCCGACTGTGGGGACTCCCACAGGGCGCCCAGTCCCTGGCGATCATGCCAGTGGGGGCACAGTCCGTCTGCTGGCCTAGCCCATCCCTGCAGGGCCCGGTGCTGCCCGGGCGGGGCGCCTTGCCCTGCCGTGGGGCCGGGATACTCCCCCTCACAAGCAGGGAGCATGGACAGCCCCACTCGCTGGAGCTCATCTTAATTTTATTCATTTGATTTATTAACATCTAAGTGGCAGAGTCGTCCTGGTCAGCACAACCAATCAATTCCAGGGTTTAATTCGGTTTTTCCTGATTGGGTCTCTGGTCACTATCTCTCTGCTCACCAAAATCAATACTTTAACCTTGTACTTCAAAGTCAGGCTGTCTGCAGGGCCCTGGCCCGTTCCCCGTGGATCAGGTGCGGCAGCCGGAATGCAGCCAGGTCTTCTGCTGACGCCCTGGGCCGCACTTCCCCCGGGAGCCCTCCCACCCCGGCTGGAAGCAGCGGAGTCCCCTCACCCGTCCTCCGTGGGGCGGGCAGTCGGCCGCCCAGGACAGGGGAGCCGCTGCACTGACGCCAGTCCTGGGGGACCAGGCAAGGCGTCACAGTTTTGGAGAAGAGCACATCTGGATCACACTCACTGCCCACCCACGCCCCACCCCCCCCGGCTGTGGACAGGCACTGAGCCCCTCTGTGCCTCTACTTCCTCATCTGTAAAATGGCCGGGAAGGGCAAATGCAGGGAGCGACCAGAGTTCCTTGCGAACTATCAGACAGCAGCACTTAAGTCAAGCCCCTCGGCCTGGAGCTCCCAGGGCCCCGAGTGTAGACAGAATCGACACTGCTTGGTCCTGTCTTTCGGCGCTTGCGCTGTTTCTCCAGCTGGACTGCAGGCCTGCGGTGGGCAGCTTCTGTACCTCCCGACTCTGCTTTTGTCCCAACCGTACCAAGCCCCGGGGGGAGGCCCTCAGGGAACGCCTGGCCGTCCAAGACCCACATCTTACCTCTCCCAGTGGCTGCACACGTTGGGGTCCTCGGGGTTCAGGGACAGGGCAGTTTGCAGGAGGGAGAAGATAATGAGCTCTGTCGCGGAGAGTGCCATCCCGGGCCCTGGGGGGTACAAAGGAAGCAGCGTCATTAATCAGACCGTTTTCCCAGGCATCTGTTCGCCACTGAGTCTTCTCACACGAGGCGGCAAAACAGACTCGCTAAACAGACTAAGTTTGCCCCCAACGTCATGTAATGAGCATTTGATATTTCACACTTGTGGGTTTTGACTACACTTCACCAGTTCTGAGTAACCGGGGAGTGGGAAGCCTGAGTCAGGGAAAAGTTGGTATTCCAGGCCAGGGCTTCTGAAAGTTTGTTGGCTTGTGGACTGCTTTGAGAATCTCATGCAAATTCAAGAAATTCTCCCCAGAAAAATGCCCACATGCACAACTTTTGGCTGTAAGATCAGGGTGTCCTCAGGCCCCTGAGCCCACGCTGGGACCAAGAACTCCTGACCTTTAAATGCAGGGTCTTCCCCTCGGTCCCTTCCCCCTCAGCTCTGATGTGCTTTGCACATCCACTCTCCCCTTCCCCAACTTCCTGCAACAAAGAAAGGGAAGAAAGGTGTCTGGTGGCCCCTGGGGAAGCTGAGCTGGGAAAACTCTTCCAGGCTACCCAGAAGGCTGCACCTTGCTTCTCTTGCTGCTATGGGATATCCATCATTGACACCCAGCCTGATGCACACATCACTCCCACCGAGGGATGAAGGACTGGTGAGGGGCTTCGAGGAAGCAGCTTGTAGAGTTTGATCCAGGGCCCTGAAGTGACAGCTTATGGCAAGTGTCAAGTGTGCCTACACACATGTCAACCCCCTTGGTCCCCTAAACTGAGGACTCCCCCAACAAAGGGCTCCTCACGGAGGCAGAGAATCATTAAGGTGGGAGTAACCACAGTGACCCCCTGGCTCCTTCCTGCCCTGGAAATCCAGGACCCCGTGGTCCTACAGACTTAGAGAACTGCGGGATTCCCACCTGCGGGGACAGCCCAGGGGAGCTGGAATTCACATGTGCTCAAACATCAGCTACAGAATGAATGAACACCGTGACTCAGAAAGATAGCACTATTTTTCATGTGTACACAGATGCTGTCGTGATTTGCTTAAAAGCTTTACTGAATTCCGAGTAGCTTTTCTTCTCAATCTGCTACACTAAAAGATGCAACTTCTAATAACTGGGGGCGGGGATGTATAGAAAATATTTTGACATCGGAAAGGGTCCCCGGGCTTGAAATGGTAGAGGATCCAGTCCATTGGCCCTGAGCTTGCTGATGAGGAAGGACTCACTCCACTCAGGGACAGACAAGAGCAGCATGCATGTCGCACACACCCCCATCTTACCCAGAGGGAAGCTAAATAGAGCTCCTGTCTTCGTGAAAGGTTAAATACTCTCCTGCTCGTCCCCAGTAATTTCCTCACTAAATTCTTTCTTAGCAGCTCCTTCAAAGATAAACAAATTGTCACAAATTCTGTATAACTGTAGGGGTCCAAATTAATGATTAATGAGGTTTTTCTGTTTGAGATCTGAAAATAATCTGGCTAAATGTATTTTGAAAATCAGTTTGGAAAGAGAAAAGCAATTCTGGTGTTTCCACTTAATTTGCCAAGCCAGGAGTATGCAGGTCACAGCCCCTCATCTCCCCTCCTCACTCACCTCCCCCCCCAACAAGTCCTTGGAGACCTAAGGGACCCCCCCAAAAGGCGGGGCACAGCATGGGGCCCACGCCCCCTCTAGGGCTGCAGGGCTTTCAGCCCATTCCCCTTGGAGAGCAGGAGCCACAACCTGGATGAGAAAGAGTGTGCCCAGATGTAGCATTAAGTTCTGGGGAGAGCCAAGTGTAGGATGAACATCGTCTTCCAGGTGGGGTTTGGGCAGATCCACCACCAAATAAATTAAATAAAGGAGTAAAGGAAGAGACCCGGTGCTCCGAAAGGCACAATGTCGGAATGCCAGGGGGAGAGAATGCCTCATTCTGGTTCTCTCTACGGCCCTGTCTCATTGACTCGGCCACTCCTATCATCTCCCGAGTGGACCCCACGACCGCATCTTCAAACTCATGAAGCTCAGAACATCAAAGGATGAAGCCCCCTGGATTAGAGGAGAGTGTTCCTCTGGCCCCCTTTTGACCCATGGTGATAGGAGAGGGGTGGGAGATGGAGGTAACTAGGATCCTTGCTAGAATTTGGGAGATCTTTTAAAATCTTCATGCAAACCTCTTCCCTCTACGTCGGATGTGGGTAGGACAATTTGGCCGACTCCCACTGGCCGTGGGTTACCTGGATGCCGGGTGCAGAGAGGGAGAGGGGGAAGGGGAGGTGGATGGGGAGCACGAGAGGACACAGGCGGCGAGACAGCCTCACTCCTCTGTCCGTGTGGTTGTGGTAAGTCCAGCAGAGCGGGGCGCATTCACACCCAAGCCTGGAACAGCCCTCCCACCAGCAGCCGCACGGTTCCCCATCTGATGCTAAGTCTGCCCCTGTGGAAGTGTGGGAGGGGCTCAGGGAAGAGGACGTCCAGCCTGAGGGTGGAAGGCTCTCCTTGGACTCGCTCTGCCCTCAGACTTTTTCTTGGAACCCAATCTAATAGATGCAACCTTAATACCCACACTTCCCTCCCCGGGGCCAGACTGGTCTCTCCTGCTCCTTGTTCACACTGCTCCCCTTGCCCTCAAAGCGCGTCATCATCAACTTTGCGTGTCCACGGACCATCAGCTCGAGGCCCGGGCCCTCCACCCTCTCTGGGCTTGGCACCTACAGGGTGCTGGGCACGCTCCACGCACATAGCTTCCAGTCTGGGCCACACGGCCCAGCACTGACTGCTCTTCCCATCTCACATCGCCAGCTTTTCCAGCTCGCCTACTTCATCCTCCCCACGTGTCATGGAAACGCCTCGAAGGTGGGGTCACATCCTAGGCCAAACCAGTCAATTCCTTTGGGGAACTGATTTTATTTTTTTTATTTTATTTTTTAAAGATTTTATTTATTTGACAGAGAGAGACACAGTGAGAGAGGGAACACAAGCAGGAGGGACTGGGAGAGGGAGAAGCAGGCTTCCCAC